TGTACTGTTCTTTAGGGGATACGATCTGTACTTTCCTATTTTTCTATGCTATATCCCTATGGTCTCCTAAATACTATACACTACTCCTGTTCACTCTCGTACTGAGATAAGCAAGTCTCTGCATAGCCCCAAAAATCGCTCCTCAAAACGAACCAATCCATGTTTCCAGATTCAGTCGCTGAGCAAGGTCGAAGGCAAATATGATCCCTACTCAGGGATCGTCATACGGGCTCACCTCTGGAGGTGCTGACCGTCTCCGGCACCAGACCCGCATTTCGACTGTGTCTTCCGTAGAGCCAGCTTGCTTATTATTCGAGAATTTTTCAAACGGATTGGTCATCAAATTTTCTGATTACAGGGGATGAATCAAAAACCCGTTTCTGTTCAGACCACCTCTAGGCCCATTCGTACATAGATACAGGTCATAGAAAAAAGTCAAAAAGAAGAAAGGAGAAAAATGTCTGAAAGAAGAAAGGATAAAAATCGCTCTTTCTTACCCTTCTAGACATAAGTACTTACTCAGCCCGGGGTACATCCTGGAGAGATTCTCTCCCCAGGGACCACCGGACAGCCTGGCAAACTTAGCCAGCGCACCGAGAGAGAGAGAGAGAGAGAGAGAGAGAGAGAGAGAGAGAGAGAGAGAGAAAGAGAGAGAGCGAGAGAGAGAGCGAGAGAGGGAGAGAGGGAGAGAATGACTCTAAGGTGGCACAACATGAGGTCCCACTTCTGAAATAAAAGCATAACGGACCAAGGAGTGAGTTCAGCGAAAAATTCCCGACTAGTTTCGGCCACTACGCCGATATGGCCATCATCAGGGAAAGTTGCGCGTGCGAGCTTACTCTAGTTGAAGTTTTAAATAGGATCGTGGAACGCGTTTCCTTAATGCTCATCCTTACCAGACGGATCCTTAGAGCTCAACGCTACTCCGTTTTCGTAGCGGGCCTGTGCTACTCCATTTTCGAAGAAAAACGTGGAAAGTCGAGAGCGGGAAAGCAGGTGTCGGTGAACAGGTTTAGAGGTGAGCGGGAAGCAACCAGAACTGCAGCAATTTGGAAGTAAATGGCAGGGGGTAGTACGGGATTGAGGAGATATGTCATAAAGATAAACGGGAGAATGAAAGAAGAAGAAACGTTTGGTGGAAAGCGCAGATAGGAAAGGCAGCGAGATAAGCGGGAGTGGCAGAAAGGGATCTGATTTGTGCATTCGTAGCGCAAGGTGGATTACGCAGGCCGACGTGGTATACTCAGAGAGGAAGCACTTGTTCGCCTGTGACCAAGTTGTCAGCCGTACGCCTTTTACTCTAGCCATAGTGACGCAGGAGAAAGACAAAAGGCTGAGGAAGAGATCTGCAGGCGAGAGATATCCGACTTTCCCGAAGTTGTCCACTTCGAATGTCAAGGGTAGTCCCTGAAACCTTTGTGAAAAAAATAAATATTTTAATAAAAGGAAATAATATATATATATAAATACAGGGTTGCCAGGCCGAACGTACGGAGGCCCCTAAGCTGACCCCCGAACGTTCGGGCGTTCGGGTCCCCGTACGGGGCCCGAACTCGAAGGGGTTCGGACCCCGCAAAAAAATATTTTGGTACCTAAAAATAATTATTTTTTTCTGATTGTTTTTTTGCGAGTTCTCTGTCATGTAAGCTATCTGTCTCTCAATTTGGAAGTCATTCTGTGGAGCCAAACAATAACGAAAAATCGGCAAAGATGGTCGTGTCAAAACTTGCTTTCCCACTTACTAATTTGTTTTTTTTCTCTTTTCACTTTTTGTTTTCCCTTTATTTCGGGGCATGAAAATAATTATTATTTTTTCTAACTTTATTTGTAGGTTCTCTATTATGTAAGATACATATGTATAAAATTTCATGGCATTTGAGAGAGCCCAAAAAAAATGAAAAATCGCCAAAGATGGCGGTGTCAAAAACGTGCTCGCCCACGCAATAATTTCATTCTCGTTTTAGTTTTTTCTTATTTTCCTTAATATTATTTAGTTTTCGTATTTGATTTTTATTGCAAATTTGGTAAGGAATTTGGATGTACTATTGAGGCAAATATTGTTTAGTTTATTCTTCTGCATGACATATGTTTTTTTCAGAATTTTTTGAAACTTTGTTCTTGTTGTTGTTTTTTGGTTCCGCGTTCGGCCGAACGTTCAAACGCGTCGAGAGGGGGTCCCAAACGTTCGGGCGTTAGGGTTCGGGTGTTTGGCCCGTCCCGAACGCCGACAACCCTATATATATATATGTTTTTATTTATTTATTCTCTAATTGCAGATGGGATAAGCATAGTAGACATGCTTTTTCTTCTTTTTTTTTAACAAGAAAATGCAAGTATAAAAGGAAAAAATAATAATAATGAAAAGAAAATCAAAGATGGTTTTTTTAATTTTTGACATTCACACATACTAATTGATTGATTGATTGATTGATTGATTGATTGATTAATTGAAAGAAAAAAAAAAATGCACGAATATTCGTATTTGTGTGTGTGTGTGTGTGTGTGTGTGTGTGTGTGTGTGTGTGTGTGTGTGTGTTTGCGCATGTGTGTGTGTGTCTGAGAGATCAATCAATCAACCAATCAATCAATCAATCAATAAAAAAAAAAACAAAAAAAAAGAAAAAACAGCAGTTTCCCGTGTGACAGTGTTTGTGTGCGTATGTGTGTGTGTTTGTGTCTGTGTGCAGCCGGGGCGTGGGGGATAGGGAGACCTCACCCCCACCAACCAACCAACCAATCAATCCAGTCAATCAATCAATCAATTAATCAATCAATGAGAAAATAAAAGAGTTCTAAAAAAAAAAACAGTGGTTTTTTAACCCGTGTGTATGTGTGTGTGTGTATGTGTGTGTGTGTTTGTGTGTACGTGTGTCGGAGGATGGGAGGGAGGGTGGACCACTCCTCCACCAATCAATCAATATTCAAAACCAATCTTCCAATTATCGATCTTTTTAATCACCTCGTATATAGAGCAGGTCTTATTTCAATAGGTCTCCCAACCATCCCTCTCTTTCTAGGATGAGCTTTCTCACGACCTTTTATTCAACACGTCTTACCTCTCTGAAGATGAGTTATTCAATCAAACAATGGACTACCTTCTCATTTAGAGGTGTCCCAACCATAATACAATTCATGTGAGGAGACCAACTCCTAAGTCTTTTGCACAACTCAAACAACAAGTCATTCACTATGACTATTCGAGATCTTCATATCTCCTTTTCACAAATACGAACTGCACTGCCTCCCCTTATACACTGCCTCATCTTTTTCCTAAGGGTAGATCGCACAAGTATACCGAGGAGTAGACAGTCTGCTTATAATCACAATCACAATACACATGGTAAAAGAGATGTTTTTCATACATTATCCACACAAACCCATCATACATCAGAGTACAACCACACATGTGAGAGAGACAAGTGACCGTCATATATAAGAATGGTCCCTGAAAAAACCTCACCATAATATACACTCAGGGAATAAAATGTCTCACACAGAAAATGTCTCCAAATCATAGCTCACTCAACTCAAGCCACACCAAACCCACACTGACAACTATCCCTAAAATACATGTCAGATATGTCTCTCAAAGGCTAAGGCGTAGGCCACCTAAATATGTACATGCCTCATCTAGATCACCCTGATCCTAAGACCCCAACTCAGTGGGAACACAAGAGTTCAAATCTAGACTAGTAGTAATCATCAAAAGGTCCTCTAAGTCTAAGAGGGTATCACACAGAGCCTAAGTTGATGCCTCACAAGATATTCAACCACTTACATAGGCAAACCGGCCCTACCTCCTCAACTGCTCCTGGTTCTGCCTATATAACTGAGCCCTAAGTCCATCTGCGGACTTCTCTACTATCCTACCATGTCTATCATACATCTTACCCCCTACCTCTGAGACCTTCCCTTCTGCCTTATTCTCAAGGAACTCGAGACAGTCCAGAGCCTGATGCATACCCCTCTTGCAGTAGAAGCATAGCTGACCAATCTTCCTCTTGAACTTCTTCTTCCTGGGTTGAGGAGGTGGCGATGAAGGAGATCCTACCATAGTACTGACAACCCCCTGCTACTCTGATCGAGGAGCTGCGGTACTAACAACCTCCTGCTGCTCTATCCCAGGAACCGGTCCCCCAGACCCAGATCCAGTAGCCCAAGATCCCAATCTGCTCCTCGAATCCCCTGTTGCTGAGACGTACTGAGGCGTGTCCAACCTCCGAGGTCTCCTCTCGAGCATCTCTCCTGTCACCACCATGGGCTGCTCCTCAATCCCCTCTGGCTCATACTCAGGCGTGCCCAACCTCTGTAGCCTGCCCTCGAGGACGCCCTCCGCCTCAATCCCCATCTCTCTCTCTCAAGAGGCCCCTCTATCCTCTGCTCGGGTGAAAACAAACTCGCCTCCTCCTGCATAGTATGCACCGCCTCAAGGAGCACGCCCATGGATCCCTCTGCTGGACCCTGAGCCGGCTCACTGCTAGATGGTGGTAGCCCCTCCTCAACTGCCAAAGGTACGACTGGGTCCGCCGCTGGTACAGACAGCGTCGCGAGCTCGGTACGGGCTCTGAACTCAAAGGCCTCTCTCCGCTTCTCTCTGGGCTCTCGCCTCCTCTGGCTCCAGGATAACCCTCCCCATAGGTGGCTCCAGGCGAGGCTCTGCTGCAGATGACTGTCCTGGTAACCCATGTCCTGGCTGCCTCTGCTCTCCCTGCCGGCTGCTCTCTGGCTTGTCCACCTTTCCCTGGGTTTGCTGCTGCCTCAGGCTCTTGATGATAGTTGCCTGAATAGCCACGAGTGCCTTGAGTTCCTGGATTTCCACCTCCATAGCCTCCAGGCGTACTCCATGACCTTCTTCCTTCGTCTTCTTCCCTGCCAGATCGCTCTCCAATAACAAGCGCCGATCAAAAGTTGTCTTGGCCAGGAACTTGAGTTTGCGATCCAGCCTCTCTTCCGCCTTTCTCGCTATTCCAAACCCGACTCTGATTGGCGAGGGAAACTCCTCTCCTCTTTGCTCCCAGAAGCCCCTCCACATCTCTGGGATTTCCGGGGCCTTAGCTGGCTCGCTGGGTGGCTGACCCGGGAGTGCCCGTGCTGTTTCCAATCTCTGCCTCTCCTGCTGCTGCTCCGGGAGTGCCCCCGCTTCCTCCAACCTCTGCCTCTCTTGCCATATCTCGTCTATCCTCCTGGTTCTTCTCGCCCTCTTTTCTTCAGCTGTCTCTCCAGCTGGCGCTCCTTCCCTCATGCGGAGGTGGACCCTCTTTGGGATCTCTGCCTCCATCTCCTGCTCTGGTTGGCACGACTCCTGGCGGGGCTCTGCAGGTGCTGGCTCCTCCAGGTCTGGGTGCTCCAGAGCATGAGCTGCTAGATGCCTATCAATCAGGGTCAAGGCTTCTCTTCTTACAGTTGCCCTTTCTCTCCTCCTTTCTTCCCTCTCTTCTGGCGGAGGAGCCTTCCCTAATGAAGGCAACGGGGCCTCCTCTCTCTGCAATCCCTCTGTTGTCTGGCAAGCGCTCCCGGGTGCACCCCCGAGTCTCAAACCTACCGCTGGCGTCTGAGGGGGCGTGTCCTCTCCAACCTCTATCACTTCCTTCCCTGCACGTCTCCCCTCATCGCCCAGCCCTCTCTCTCGCTGATCATCCTGGACCTCCTCCCGTGGCATCCTCTCTTGTGGTATCTCCGCTTGTGGCACCTCCTCTCGTGGCACCTCCTCTCGTGGCACCTCCTCTCGTGGCACCTCCGCCTGTGGCACCTCCTCTCGTGGCACCTCCTCCGCCTGCTCTCCATGCTTCTCGCCCCGAGGCAACGCTCTCTACCGAGAGATATCCAGATGCGCCTCCAACTCCCTCAAAGGCCCCTCCGACGCTGGCGGCTCCTCCTGTGTGTGTGCCGGCGACCTCCTCAATCCACCCTCGGTAAACCAATGGAACTCCACGGGTTCCAACCCACACTCAGGGTACGCCCCTCATTCCTCAGCCTCTGGTTCCGACTCTGGTTCCTCCTCTCTCCTAGCTAGGGCCTTCCGTCCTCCTCGTCATGGTCTTGCCTCCCTGGTCTCAGGGTCCCTCTGCCTCTGACTCCTCTGACGCCTCTCGACTCTGGGCTGAGGGGGCTCAAGCCGTCGAGAGCCCTCTCTCAGATGTGCCCTACAGCTCTCCCAATCCTGAGCCATGTCTCTGACCTGCCTAGCCAGTGGTCTCTCCGCCTTTCTCGTCGAGAGGAGTAACGTCCTCGCCCACTCATCTCTCGGTGTACCCTGCCCTTGCATGAACCACTCGAAAGCGGGAATAAAGTCTGCTGCATTTCCGATCTCTAGGCGGATCGGCTTGCCATCTGGTCCCATAGGCGAGGGTCGCAGCTCCTGCATCCTCAACTCCACCTCTGACCTCGTCGTCGCCTCCCTACGGATCCGCGCGACGGGCTCCTCGAATCTGCCGACTCCCCTCAATCTCTCAATCGCCTGGGTCACGGTCCAGCCCATACGCCTTGCATGCTCCCAAAAACTGTCTAGGAATAGCTCGATGTCCCCATCATCGTATACCGGAGTACTCTCTCGATGGCGAGACCCATGCCGCTCATACCCTCCTGATGCGCCCAATGGCCTCCGAGGCGGCCGTGTCCCCTTCCCTCCTCTTGGCATGACTATCTTCGTAAAGTCAGACCTGCACAACAAGCGAAGGAGACAAGAGGCACACATTGGGTAAGCAAACAGGTGATAATCAAAGCAAGCTTAGACCAGACCACACTCATGCAGCATGCATCCTACCTGACCTACACATCCTATTACTTTTATTCTAAAGGCAGTCAGATTATCTCTTTTACCTCTTCTCTTGCCACAAATTTCTTCAATCGCGTTCCAGATACCCAATCCTTCCACTCAGTCTCATTTAGCTCCTCAATCTGGTACGCTCAGAAGTCTCCAACCCGTACGATCCGGTAGGGACCTAACCACCTCTTATCGAGTTTCCTGGACCATTGCTTCTCCAAGGATGAATCGTAGAGGAGCACGACATCCCCAATTGCCAAAGGTACTTTCCTCACCCGCGCAAACTGATCCCATCGAGCCTTATCATCCATATGGCTTCTCGCCACCTGATCAGACGCCTCCTGGATCCTTTTTTCTATCGCCCCTATCTGTCGCGCCCGAATGTCGAGCAATCCTTCAAATGACAAGTTAACTTCCAGATCCTGGCGCCTCCATATCTTAAGGAAGCTCTCAATAGGGAAGGTGGCGTGCCTTCCATACCACAGTATAGCCGGCGCATACTTGGTGGATCTTTTTACTGTAATGTTCTCGACAAAGAACGTCGCCCTTAGGTACCTTGACCATTGATTAGGCCTGCCTTCGGTCCACTTAGCCAGGAGGCTCGTAATGGTACTATGTTCTCTTTCCACATGAGCATTTGCCTGGGGGTGCGCAGCCGTGGTGTAGTTGGCTGCTACACCATACCTTGATAACAATTCTTGCACCTCCTGGCAGGTAAATTAAGATCCCCTGTCCATTACGAATTCCCTGACGAAAGGATAGCGCAGATAGTACTCCTCGATGCAGCTCACCAAGACTGACCCGGTCTTTATGTGAATAGCATGCCCGTCTACGAATCCAGACAGGTTATCGCGCGCATCGAAGATATAGTTATAGCCCTTATCCCCAAGTGGCATAAAAGGTAGATCGAGATGCACTACAGCCCCCACCTCTCGCTCTAGCCTTGGATGCAGCGACTCTCCTTGCCTTAAACGGGATCTCTCCTGGCAAGGTACGCAAGATCGGCAGAATTTCCCGACCATGTCCATCATCCCATCCCAGTAGTACAGCTCACTTATCTTGGCAAACGTGGCTTGTACCCCTCGATGCCCTCCTGCAATGCCATCGTGAAGCGCTGCTATGACGTTGATCCGACGATTCCTACCGCAGACGACTCTCCTGGGATTCCCCACTTCTCTTCTCACGAAAAGATGGCCGTCACGCACCAAGTAGCGCTATAGCATCCTCTGAGCTCTATTGCTCGTATCCCTTAGTCGCATTTCGCAAGACAAGAGAAGCCCCAACTCTAGGCAGATCCCATCATACTCCTCTGCACGAAAAGTTTCCTTAATCTCCCCCTCCTCGAACTCGTCGTCCTGGCTCTCGGGCACTTCGTCCACATTCCCTGCCGGGTTCAACGAGCTTGACTGGTCGAGGCTTTCCTGCAATAACGTGTTGACGAGGAGATACAATCCTCCCATCAGGTCCTCATGCCGTTCTGCTCGGACTGGTCCCTCCTCGATCGTCCTCATGTCCTCCACCAGACTATGCGAACTGGTCAGCGCCAACTCCATCATCCACTGAACATCCTTACCACCCCAGGGGTCCTCTTCTTCAAAGGGTTTGAGGACTAGCTCGGCCCTCCTTTCATATCCACTCGGCGCTTGCCAGATAGGATAGCCAACACAGCTAGGTACTCACGGGGACCACTTGTTGATATGAAGACGGACATCATCTTCCTGGTCCAGAAATCCATCAACTGGGGGCGTATTCTCCACCGCCTCCCCTTCCTGTTTATCCCAGTTGATCCGACTCAGCCCGTTCGCCCGGTTCTTACTGCCAGGAATCTGTTCTAATTCGAAATTGAACATCCAGATGTACGTCAGCCATCTGGCAACCGTCGGATCCGATGGAACGTAATTCCTTAGAGAGTAGGCCAGGGCGATTGGATCCACTCTCAGAATAAACCTCTTGCCGAAGATGTTGTTCCGGAAGATTCGCAGACAGTAGAGGACGGCAAGGGTCTCCCTCTTGAACTGAGAATAGTTTCTCTCGGTGGTACAAAGAGTTCGACTCTCAAATCTCAAGGGTCTTTCCTTTCCCTCTATGTCTGCCTGAATTATAACTCCTCCTAGGGCAGTTGGCCCCGCATCCGTTTCGATAATGAAGGGTCGTGTCTCCGTGGCATCATAATCTGACGCTCCTAACACCAACCCTCCTTCTCGAAATTCCTCCTTCATTCTGGCCACCACCTCTTCTTGCTCTTCACCCCAAACCCATTCCTGATCCTGACAGACTAACTTCCTCAGGTGTTCAGCCTTAGCGGCAAAGTTTTTGACGAAGGCCCTCCAAAATTCACACGTACCAAGGAAGCTCCTGACATCAGTAATTGAGTGAAACGAAACCGGCCACTAAGTAATCTTGTCCGTCTTCTTCACATCCGTCCTTCGGCTCTTCTCGCTGCAGACGAACCCCAAGATAGTCGCTTCCCTCATGCAGTGTCTGGATTTGGCCCTGCTCGCCGTGAGGTTATGCTCCTCGAGCAGGCTCAAGACCTTTTCGAGGTCCTGGATGTGCTTCCAAACAAAGAGCTTTACCCCTGGCGAGATTTCGTCGCTCTCCTTCACTGCCGGCCCCTTCACCGCCAAATCGCCGATGTATGGCTTTGTGATATGGGGGCTGACTGACTGCATAGCCCGAATCATGGCCCGTTGGACCATTGCTACCGCGTTGGTCCACCCTTGTGGGACCACGTTCATGTGGATTAGTCCTCGCGGCGTGTGCATAGCCGTCACCGGTCTGTCCGGCAGGTAGACCGGAAACTGATCATATCCTGAGTAAAGGTCTATAAGCAAAATTATAGGCCTTCCAGCACAGGATTCTGACAACGCGTCTGCATTGGGCAACCCTCCAGCATCCCGCACGGTCACCGTATTCAGCCTCTGCAACTCTTGCACCCACCGTAGTGTCCCGTTAGGCTTGATGAAGCAGAACCACGGGGACGCATACGGTCCACTCGAATAGTCGGCGACGTGCGTACGTATATTGCCGTCGAGGTAATCCATCGCCTTCTTTTCCTCGTCAGGATTAAAATACCGTCCCCCTCTCATGTTCAAAGGCTCGTGTGGCATGGTGTGGATGCGGATCATAGGTATCTTGTCCACATCCAGCCTGCCACGCTCCTCGTCACTAAACGCATAGGCGCGGTGCCTCCTCTTCATCAACTTTTCCATCAACGTTCGTTCATGAGATAGCAGGAAGTCGGGCTCCCCTATAATCAACTTCCCCTCATTTCCTTCGTTGATACGATATGGCCCTGCTAGAGCACTCTCCCTCATTCGCCGTATCAACCCTCGTTCCCTCTCGTAATATGCTTCCTCGTCCTCTGTAACAAGGACGGGAACCGGGCGGCACTTCTTGTCTACCGTCTTGTACGGCCTTTAGGAACCCTGCTTGAGCCGTCCCCTAAAAAAGGCTGACTCACAGATTGCGCCTGCGCTGATGTGGGGCTCCTCCCGCCGCCCGGAAGGCGATATACCAGCTCCAATCTTCCTGCCTCGGGGCATTCTAGAACTTGCTCTCTCAAGGTCTGGATGGCATCCGGATCTGCCATTTCATGTATGGCCACCAAGTCCATGGCCTTCCCGATGTCTGACAGGTTGAGGGAAAATGCCTCCACCCTCTCTCCCGCTTCTGGCTCTGCCCGGAGCCTCCTGCGTTCACCTTCCAATTCTTCGATTGTGAACGATCCTGGATTGGGCCGGTTCCTTATGCTTCTTCGCCCTGTGTTTCTGCAGGTAATTATTTCGTAATTCCCGCAGGCAGGGTCACATAGGAGAAGGATTAGAGTCCCGTCATGCTTGTTGAACATCAGGGTCTCTGTCCTACTTAGGAACGATCTCCCCAGGAGGATTTCATGATCCACGTCCGGCATTATGAAGAAGCATGCCCTGGCCTTCACCTTTCCTACCTCGATGAGCACATTCGAGGCTGTCCCGCTAAACACGACCTTACAACTGGCTCCATGCAGAATACCGCAGTCAGAGCGGTCTATATCCAGCCCGAATTTGATTGCGTCCGCCTCACGAATAATGTTCATTTCGGCCCTTGTGTCCACCATTGCCGCACACTTGGAGCCCTTTACCACCAAATTCACCGTGCCGAAGGCCACACACTTCCAATTCATCTTCGTGCCTGATTCTGCCCACTCTGCCTCCTTGGGCAGGATCATGCCCAGATGGACATTGGGCACCAGGCGCCGTGACAGCCTCCCTTTCAATTCATCGCGGAGCCGCGGAGCTGACGCTAGGATCTGCTTCAGGGTCATGAGATCATTATGCCCTTCTAGCAGCCTGTCGATCCCCCTCTCTACATCAAACTCCTCTTCCAACCGAACAACGTACTTTTTCTTTTTGGGCGGTCCGTCACGCGTGACCGGCTCGACCTCTTCCCTGGTCCCTTATCTCCTTGCCCGCTGCTCCGCTCTCTGATCCTCTTCCCGGCGCAACCTCTCGTCTTCTTTCTCTTTATCATCATCATCCTCCACTTTCACGGCCTCTTTTCTTTTTCCTGGCTCCGGGTCCCTCCTTGGAGGTTCTTCGCTGGCGCTGGCTTTGGCTTGACTTCTTGTTTGTGCTGCCTGCGCCAGCCGGGCCTGCGGAGTGAGGGGTCTCCCCAGCATTCCCGATTGTGGGCACGACCCCACCACATTTACTCCGGGTCGCCCAGACGCTGACTCCGGACCAAAGTCGTAGAGGAACACCTTAGGGAGGCTAGACTTCCATTTCCTCACTTCCTCACAGAGGCCCACCAACTTCTGTTGGTATCTCCCCATCTTATCCATCAGGTCCTCCATTTTCCCCAACAAGACGGACGAAGGTTTCATCCTTTCCTCCTTATTCTTGTCATCTGACTCTATGATTATGGGTTCTTCCCTCTCACTTCCTCCTCGTAGCCCTTGAGTCACTTCCTCATTGTTCCCCACTTCCTCTACTCCAATCGGTGGTTCTTCCTTTTCCAACCATAACCTGAATTCCTCTATCCCTACCGACGGTCCTTTCTTCTCCTGCCATAGCCTGAACATGGCAGGGGATGGCGGCCCGGCTGCCGCCCTTCGTTGGGCTTCCGCTCTCACTCCTCCAAGCCTTTTGTCAATGGCCTTCCTAAACTGATCGTAAATGTTCCCATCCATAGCGGAGGAAATTAGCCCGCCCCTTTCGTCTTCCCGTCTTATATTACAGAACCTTATAGTGTGAACTTGCAGGTCAAAATGTTGGCAGATGGCCATCCTCCAGTCAAAACGGGGTCTCCCATACCCCTGACTTCCCTAATCCCCCTGGCCTTGATACCCCTGGCCTTGGTACCCCTAGCCTTGATTCCCCTGGCCTTGGTACCCCTGACTTTGGTTTCCTCGGCCTTGACCATTCCATTGCCCTCCTCTTCCGCCACCATTCTTGCCTCGCCCCCTTCCTCCACCCCTCCCTCCGTTGCCTTGATTGCCCTGTCCCTGGTTCCCGCTTCCAGCCACGCTTCCTTGTGAACTGGGAGCGGGTGACGGCGACGGAGCCACAGGCTGGGTCTGGGCCGCGGGGTAGATGAGTGGCGACATACTCGTTTGCGGTCCGGCTACTGGTGGCGGGCTACCCCATGGCACAATCGCATTGATCACCGGTCAGGGCCACTGTCCGTAGGAGGGTGCCCCTCCTTGCGAGGGGCCCGTACTAGATGATGTAGCCGCCACATTCAAAGGGGTTGCTGTCAAGGCCTGGGGCGCCTGCGCTTTTCCTGATCCCTGCCCGCCCTGCGCCAAGTTACGCACTTTGCGCTGGGCCTTCGTACGGTGCTGCGGCACCGGCTCTTCCTCTTCCCAGAGCTCCTCCTGATCAACCTCCTCTATCACCGGCTCCTTTCCTTTCACCTGGACAGCCGTCACTACCCTTCTCTGCACCACCGGCTTTGTCGCATACCCCAGCTGCGCCAGGACGTCTGTAACAATCCTTTTTACTCCCGGGGTCCCGGAAGCGGTCGCATCTCTTTCCTTTCTCTTCTGCCTTTGCAGGCGTACCTAACGTTGCTCCACCTGGTCCAAACACCGAACTTCCACCCCTCTGTCAATGGTGGCCCAGGTGAGCTTGGTGCTACCTCCTCCATGTCTTGTTAGTTCGACGGCCTCTGATGCTGTGAGTAACCCTAGAAAAATGGCGCATTGCGCCTCCTCTGAAATCCCATGGACCTTCCGTGCCCTCTTCTTGAATTCCTGAACAAAAACCCCTTATCGTCGTAAAATTCTCTTTGTTCATTGCCTCAAGGTCCGCAGTGGTCAACAGTCCATCTCCCAGGCGGTATTTCCTCTGCATTCCCTCCTTGAACCTTTCCCAGTTACCTTGGGCCGCATGTATGACTTTCTTCACTTCTTAGTGGTAGCTGTGAAGGATATACTGAAGAATGTGGTGAAACTTTACAACGTCCGACCGCCCGACCAAAGCTTGTTCCACCCGCTCCAGCCATTCAGAGACTCTCTCCCCACAAAAATGAGGTATCGACTTGAGGGATATTGCTCGGGTCCCTTTCATGCTGGTCAATGGCCGCAATGAGGTCATCGAGCGTCAGGCCCTTCTTAGGACCACCCGATGCGTCACCGCCCTGCGACATCTTCCCAGACCTTACTCTTCAAGCCTCCTGACAAGAGAAAAAAAAACAAGCACATCCCCTTATTCAGCATTACACCTTGACCGGTCTATTTTCATCCTTTCTACCTAACTCTTGCTACGTTCTTTTATCCGATGCTAGCACGGTCATTCCTCATAACTTCTTCTAGCTCACGTAGGTAAACTTCCTTACTCATACTCAATCACCCATTATTTTTCCTTACCTTCTCGTCGTTTTCTTTATGCATTTTTCCATTCACTTCTCATACCCGGATGTCGTTCCACCAGGGACAACGGTAGGCTTTCCGTTATCCCCGGCAACGACGCCACCTGTCGAGCGCATAGGTCCGACACCGCACCAGGGCAGCGTGAGACCTTTCCGGCCGCGTTACGCAGGAGTTGGTTCATGTCCTTCGTCGCAGATAATACATGTGGAGCTTCCTTAAGCCGCTCCGGCCGAGTGTGCCAGCCATACCTCTCGCGAGCCCCTACGACAGGATAGGGCCTACGCGAGGCACTACTTACCTACACCTTACGGGAGGTGTCACCTCCCTTCAGTGGGCGTATCCCCACCGAGCTACCAGTCCACAGTACGAAAGTTAATCAGTTGCAATCGCAGAGGTGGACCAGCGGAGGGCGTTTTTAGTTCGCTGTAGCATAGGGGGTACGCGCGGTAATACGCCTCTACTTGGCCCGCACGCGAACCGACAGCTTGGGGGGCTGAAGTCCCAAGCGCGATTCAACGTCGGTCGACTAGAACGCATCCCATACACCACACGCACACCTCTCTAATCACCATAAGACAACAACACACCCACACACACACGAAACAACACAACGCAAACAACGCGACAACGTTCCTAGCCCCTCGGTAGCCGTCCCATAACTCTCTGATTCGGAAATCGAATATGCGTCGCGCGCGAGACTTTGTATAAAACCGCGTGGATCCAGAGCTGACTTATATCGATTTGCAATGCAATCGTACGCAAGCAGTCGCAATGATGGCGTATTATGTGGTACCCATACTTATGCGGTCCTCGTTAATCTCGAGGGCCACATTCGACACTCAAGTGTCGGCTGACACGCACCTTGAGGGTTAATCTCTTGACGCTCGACAACCGCCATGCGCGGTTGAAGACCACACCCTCTTCTGCACCCTGTGTAGAGGGGTTGAGTTGACAACTTTGAACAGTCGTGGTGGTCGAACATCAAAGGGTTTGACTTTGACGGCTGCCACGGACTACAACGTCCAACCATACAACTCTAAAAAAAGCAAGGGTAAGAAGGGAACCCCCCCCCTTTTCTCTCAAGACACACTTTGGTTAACCCTTATGCTCAATTACAGTAGGTCTCTCAAATACTCACGGCGCTTATAAGTATATAAGGGTTAATTATATAGGACGATCACTTCTCACAGTCACAGTGGGGCTCCTCTCAACCATATATGTATGTAATCGCAGACAATCACATCCAGAAGCCGAACCACAACCATACATGCAATCACATCAAAGCTTCAGCCAGAAGTCCACACACTATACGGAGTCAACCCCAACCATCTTCGACACTCATTCCCCTCGCTTTAGCCATGCAAGCCCCAAAGCTCCCATCCAACCAACCTTAATTAAATACTCAGTATCTTCGTTAAATGACCATTCA